CTCCCTTGGCAGTCCCCGCGAGATCAATTCGTCGAGTTGAGGCTTCGCACCCCTTCGTGGTCTCTTTGGAGACCTGCGGAACATCTCTTACCAAAGACTCGTTCATCCAACGAACAGCGAGGCTCTGGAACACATTGCCAAGGGAGGTGTTCCCCGAGGCATATAACCTCCAGAAATTCAAGAAGAACACCAATTCCTACCTCATTTCCCTTGGTTCTCATGATGTTCTCGGAACATTACAGGATATCTCTTTTCGTGGGAACCAGAACATAAAAAAAACACGTTCTCTAAATAAGCATAGTAGGGTATTTTTTTTATTTTTGAGGAATTTTTGAAACTACATAGAGTGATTTCAACCACGGATTCTAGGAACAGAAATAGTAAAGAAAGTTCATATGAACATGAGCCCAGGAATGACCTCCTGGGGAGTTATAGCTATCTGAGAGAGGGCCAGAGATGATGTTTTTTTGTTAATATTTACAAAGCCCACTGTGTTGAGATAACGAAAGGTAAACTATTAAGAGAAAGTACTATTTTTATTACGCAGCAGATTTTTAGAATCGATTTATCTCGAAAATGGTGAGTCCTCTCGAAACTAAACAGGAGTATCATTTTCATGTAAAAATAATGATATTTTAATATTTCCTGATCAACCTGCCGAAAATTGCATATAGGCTGCTGATTTTAGACACCCTAGTTCGCATAAATTCGCACATTGAATTTTCTTGCATGATGTTAGGCTGTTTCCCAATAGGATAAAACCAAGTTTGCAGCTCCGAAAGACTTGCGCTAAAAGTGTGGTGCTCGAAAAACCCCGGAATTATTCGACTAATTTCTGTTTTTAGCGCAAAAGTCCTATAAGATGGCTTCCTGAAGAAAAAGTCACATCTACATTTTTTGAAGCTAGATTAATGCCCTACATTTTGAGTCTAATTTCATTTCTCGAGGTCTGATACATCCCGAGAAACAGGACCTCAAAAATTGTTTTTTTTTTTAAATTTGAAAATTGTAGTTTTGGCCCTCTTCTGAGCAAAATATCGGCTCTAATACTCATCCTACGAGGAAAGTTATGATGATTCAAGTTGTAGTTTATTGTTTATTTATATAGCTTCAATTTGAACGCATAAACAAGCATGTAGGTCCAATAGCAATATTGTTATCCTTAAAAAACACTACAGTTGAAAATTTGATTTTGTAAGAAATGGAGCTTGACGATTGAATTTCCTGTACAAACATATTTTAAAGAAGCGAAATAAAACAACCAATGTACATCGATATCCAATATATTGTTGAGTAATAATTAATACATTTGAATCATGTGGATGTTCGATGGAAAGGGGGTCAGGATTAACGTCTTTTTTTGGAGGGACCAGGTTCTTCACTGCTTGATCGAGAAGGGAAATCGATGGGAGCCGGGTCATCGATATCGGCCTCATCGTTGGAATCCTCCAGTTCGATGGCCGGTTTGTTCTGGCATGATTTGCCTCGGCAAGTTGAGCACAAACCTGATGAGCACACGAGACCTGCTTTCCTGCAAGTGCACCCACCCATGCAGCCTTTCTTGCACTTACAGGAAATCAGTTTGAGGAGCGTGAGTGGAGCTGATTGAGCAGTATTTAGGATTAAGTCATGGAAACCATCCATCCTTCTCGAAGTGGTCCAGATTTTTTGTATAATTTCTAGTGGTTTCAGGTGTGTCTTAGACACTCCACCCCATCCTATAATGCCATAATCTAAATGTGATTCAATTCGACTATGATAGAGTATTTTCTTTTGCTTAATATCCAGTATATTTGATACTTGTTTGAATCTATATAGGATATTTCGTAATTTCTTGACAAGATAATTGATATGGACATCCCATCTCAAATGGCTATCTATCATTATACCTAAGTATTTGACACTTTTTGTTGGTAATATTTCGAGGTTATTTCCTAAAGATATCTTATCGAATGTTGGGAGGTTGGTGGATAAGCTACAGAACGGCAGGTAGAATGTTTTTTTGAGATTTATTGATAATAGTCTATTATCAAACCATTTTTTGATGTTAACAATTTCGCTTTTGATTTTACTTTCCAAGTCGTCCCATGTATCTCCTTCGTAAAATATAATAGTATCATCTGCAGAACTTATGATGCTGCCTTCTTTTTGTATTGAGAATAAGTTATTCAAATATATATTGAAGAGCAAAGGCCCCAATACCGTTCCCTGGGGTACACCGCATGATATTATTTCTTTTTTGCTATAGATGGTTTTTATTTTTGTTTGTTGTTCCCTGCCAATTAAGTATGAGCTTAAAAGATCATATGCTTTACCCCTCACTCCTAGATCGTCTAAGGTTGATAAAAGAATGTTGTGGTCCACGGTATCGAAAGCCTTCGTGAGTGGCATCAGGCTTGAGGAATGTGGTGGCTATGTTCATCAGGGCAATATCTTCCTCGAAGGCACTTACCATTTTGTTCTTCCCTTGCCAGAAAAGAGAAGAGGAAGTATCGCAACCGGTAAATGCGTGGAGAAACAACTCCAATCCTGATGGGTACGGAACTTCCGAGCGGTTGAACGACTTGGTGGTTGTCAAATATCCCCAACATAGATCCGATGGAGAAGAGTGGCGTAGGGAAATCATTTTACAATGGGGTTACAATGACAAAAATGAATTTTGTCATCAATATGGATTCTGGTATATGAAAACAGATACAAATAATACACTTTTGATGAAATGAATGCTTTTTACTCTCAAAGGTATGATACAGGGTTGGTAAAATTTGCTTTCAGTGCAGTAAAGTCAAATATAATATATTTTCCGAACAACTTGTGGAAGAAATTATAAGTGTTCGATCTGCCACCATATTTATTCAAATATATTTCATATAGTTCATATATTTCCTTTTATATTTCATATCTTTTATATTCAGAATAGGTTGGTACAGCAAATCTAATGTCAGGATCCATTTCTCAAACAATCCAATTTTTAACTGTCTGGATTTTTTAAAGATAACTATGGTGCTATGGGGCCTACATGCTTGGTTGTGAGCTGGAATTGAAGCTATATAATAATAATAATATAATAATAATAAACTTTATTCATGAAATAAGAATTGTAAAGAGTAGTTACATATGAGTAGTAGTATAAATAAAGTTGGTAATCAATAAGTGCGATGCACTTGTTTCGATTATAAGTAAGAATATATAGGAACAATGAAATTACAATATGTTCATTAAAGGTAACAACTGCCATAAAATACTATCAAATGCTATAAAATGCTTTAAAATAGAATGTAGACAATAAAAGAAATAAAATACTATACAGATACAATAAATGCAGAAAGCGCAATAAAATGCAGAAAAAATACAATAAAAAAATTTTTTCCTTATGATTATAGTTGAGGTAAGAAGGAGATGGTATATAATTTAGTCATTGTTTTTGCCATTTTGACTCTATCAAAGTAGTAAAATACAATCTAGGAGTCTGGAGTAAAAAAAATCTCAGTTGTGTTTTGAATGTTTTTTTGTTGCTAAGAGATTTTATGTTTCCGGGAATAGAGTTGTATATTTTAGTGCCGATATAAGAGTAACTTTTCTGTGATAGTGATTTTTTCACTAATGGTTGCATTAGTAGTTGACGACCTCTGGTTTCATACTGGTGGTCGGGATGAGGTGCTTTATCTTCACTAAAATGATATCTTATACACACATTGAAATAAAATAGCTGGCGAATATCCATGATCTGTGATGTACTATATAGGTCATCAGAGGAGTATCTACGCGGTTTTGACATAATTATTTTTAGGAACCTTTTTTGTAGGATTTCTAATGGATTTATGTATATTCGCGCAGCTGTGCCCCATGCCTGTATTCCATATCTGAGGTGGCTTTCTACAAGTGCAAAGTACAGTGTTTTCAATTGTTCCGGTGATAAGTATTCTTTCATATGTTTGAAGGAAAAAAATTATTTTTTGTATTTTTTTTATCGTGTAGTCGACATGTCTATCCCACCTCAGATGTCGATCGAGATATACACCCAGATATTTAAATTCTTCCACTGACTGGATACCATATTCTTTGTCATTTATGCTCATATTAATTTGTCCCATGTCTGTCATACCAGCAGCATTACAGCTGAAGGGTAGGAATTTGGTTTTGTTGAGGTTCATTGTAAGGAGTTTGTGATCAAACCAGTCCTTTATTACCTTGAGGTCTTTTTCGACTTTCTTCCTTAAATTTGGCCAAGTATCTGCTTCATAAAAAACAGCAGTGTCGTCTGCAAATCCTATGATATCACCAGTTATCTTCAAGCTGAATAAGTCATTAATATAAATATTGAATAGTGTTGGACCCAAAACCGTTCCTTGTGGTACTCAAATATGAATACACTACAACTTGATATCTTATAACTTTCCTCGTAGGATGAGTATTAGAGCTGATATTTTGCTCAGAAGAGGGCCAAAAGTACAATTTTCAACTTTTTGGAAAAAAATCCAACATTTGGATTCATGAGACCTAAAGGAATGAAATTAGACTCAAATTGTAGGGTATTCATCCAGCTTCAAAAAATGTTGATATGAGCGTTACTTTAGGAAGCCGCCTTATAGGACTTTAAGGCTAAAAACCAAAATTAGCCGAAAAATTTCGAGGTTTTTTGATCACCACGCTTTTAGCGCAGGTCTTTCGAAGCTGCAAACTTGGTTTTATACTATTGGGACATAGCCTGACAATATGCAAAAAAACATTGGAATGTGCGAATTTATGCGAACTTTGCCATTTTTTTTGTCTAGGGTCAGCGGCCTAATAGAAAAAAAGTTGGGGGAAGATATCCCCTAGCCCCACCTATTTCCCACTCCCCTGATAAAAATTTCGGAAAATCCTCAACATTACCAAATAGGGTTTCCGAAATATTTCGAAAACATTTCATATGAACTTTTTTTACTATTTTTGTTCCTAGAATCTGTGGTTGAAATATTTTTATGAAATTTCGGGACACCCTGTATATAAGTAAATCATCACTTCAGAAATAAATCTTTATTCAAGTCATAATGAGTTAGAATGCCTATAAATCCAACATTTTAAACCACTAAACTACACTAGTTTATTGGTCGAAGCATCATCCTGGCTTTGGCATGACAATATTCTAGTCCTTTGAAACTTTCCCAATGCAATCCATGATATTTATTGGCACTGGATAGATCAACATTCACAAATTTTCCGTTCAGGCTGCTTTTAAAGCATTTTTTATGCCACCATGCACCACCTTGAAAAGAATTCAAGCTCAATCCGAATCATAATTTTATTGTCCAGGTCGCGTATTTACTAAATATACTGTACGCTAGCACAAACCACGCCCACCGTTATATCTCATCTTCAAAGTACTTTACTTAGGCAAAAGTCAGAGACTATTTATCCTCAACGAACTAACCTATCCCTGATTGCAATATTTTTGAGGAAGGAAAACCGAATGGAGTGTAGAAACACATTGATTAATAATATATTTCAAAAGTTGAGTTCTTCAACAAAATTGAATAAAATGAGACTGTTTATCCTAAACGCACTAACCTATTTGACTTCAAATATTTTATGAAAAAGGAAAACCAGAATGAAGTAAAAAAACATTGGTGAAATAAAAAAGTTGCAAAAAAAAGTTCAAGTTCACAGCGATTCGAACCATGGACCTTCAGACTAAGAGTCGACACTTTCACTTCAAAGACTTTTATTGTTCACACAAATTACATTACGACACAAATTTACAGGCACATTCCAGCGAGAAACATATTATTAGAGCTCAGGGCTCTGTGATGAGTCCTCCGCGCGGTGCAGAGGTGGCTGATGTCGGCCAAGGAACGTGGGTGCATTTGCGAAGTGTTAGTCTCAGATGCCTATCTCCTGGGGCCAAGCCCCTTATATAGGTGATCTCGTTGAGGTAACCCAAGAGGGTGGGGGAGACGATCAGTCGCTATCAGGGGTGAGTGAGTTATGGGGGGGGGGGGGGGGGATGGAGGAAAATAAAAGGTGAAAAACAAAAACCTCCTGCTCGTTAAGAGAGTCGACAGCGCTAACCATTAGACCATTTGGGCGTATGAAATTACTGCGTACAAGAGATTGACAACGAGAGAGCTTCAGTCGAATTCGTGTCAAAATCATAAAAAGTGTATTCCTGCGTTGGAGCACAGTATATTTTAGTGCGATGTGCTGACTCCGAGTATATCGGTAATGTTTGGAGATATGACGTATTATGGTGGGCGTGGTTTGTGCTAGCGTGCAGTATATTTAGGAAAATCGCGTCCAGGTCTGCCTCTCAAAGCCTCGTAAGAAAGACACACAAGCTTTGGAATATCAAACTGTAGAATAATCTCTGCTGTAGATGACCGCTTGTAAAAAAATAGAATCATACGAAACGTCGCGTGAAGAAATCAATATAATCACGTTGAATCTCATAAAAACCTGCGTTGGAAAAGTATTTTCAGTTTCTCTGTATCTCTGATAACAATGTAAAAAAATAGATTTTCCAAAAATTCACTCTTTTTGATATAACTGAAAAATGTCGAATTGAAATCTTATCCCATAGAGAATTTTACGCAGAATTCAGTGGCGCACAACATTTTTTTCCGGGGTATGGTTTTGGAGATACGACTCAAACTGATGATTTTTTAAGTGGAATACCCTGTATTTTATCAACTCATTAAATTCTCTATTTTTTCCATTCTGAATGATATATGATGTATGGATATAGCTTTTAAAAAATGATCCAAAATCACTAAAACATTGAATTTTTATGAATTTTTCATTCCGTGACACAATATAATTTGTACAGTTTGAGTTTTGTTTGTAATAATTTTTCCTATTTTTCTTATTTTCTGAAGCTGTGTTCTGTTAAATGTGGGTATTGTGAGTTGATAACATAATATTGTTGACTTTTAACAATGGTGAGACGTTGTGAGATGTGTGGAAGACAATTTAAACCTAATGATCAAAACACGTTATTTCATATAGGTAAGCAGCCAGTGTCGCATCATACGAAATTTCCATATCATTTCCCCAAATAGAGATGGAAGCAATAAATATCCAATAAATCAAGATTACATATGAGTTGTCTGCGACATTCAGTGTCTAATTTTGATTTGAGAAATATCTCCAAATCTTTTGGGTGTATGATAAATTGACATTCATCATACAGGGCGTGGAAAGAAATTCTGAATCGAGACTCTATCACGAATCTGCGATTAGAGGTCTATAAAAATCACAAGTTTCCATCGTTCAAGTTTGAACCCCCTGATTGGGTATGAAAGTGTTGAAAAGGAATATTCTCAGATAAATTATGGACTTAAAAAAATGGATATACAGGGTGTCCCTAAAAGGTGCGGAAAAAAAGCTACCACAAGTTCCTGAGGCGTAAATATGACGATCTAACTCAACTTACCTCAGTCCAAAAGTGGATGATTTCAGAGATACAGAGTGTCAAAAGTTCACTTTGATTTTCATTTTTTATAAATATTTTCTTTAATAATTGGTGTATTGTTACAATATTTGGCTTGGGGGGGTTTTGCTGGTTGAGAAATTAGAATTTGCTATCATTTTTATTGTAAAGTTAAGAGGGCGCCACCTGCGGAACCTTGCACACATTTAAAACGAAATAACTTTTTTGAGTCACCCCATATTTAATTTTTAAATGAAAATTCGGATTGTCCAACGTCTTTTACATAAAATATGTATACGTGGTAAGAGTTGATTTGGGCAGCTGTTTTTGAGATATCTGGATTTTAAAAATTCACTTCGTAAATGACCAGGTCTAAATTATTGTAATAATAAAATTGAAGCGTAGGCGGTGAATTAAAATTACAGTGAAAGATTTCCTAATCGTCGCTTACCAAACCATAAAACCTTCAATCCTAAACTCAGCATAATTTTTTTTAATTAAATCAAATTAAATTTTTGTTGTTAATAAATCTCCTATTCCTAATGACTATTTTTACTAGAGAATAAAATTACCAACACATTTATGTACCTTCTTTTTTTTTTCTAAGTTTTTGGTGACGTTATTTTAATTCACCGCCTACGCTTCAAATGTGTTCAATTTTATTATCACAATAATTTAGACCTGGCCATTTACGAAGTGAATTTTTAAAATCCAGATATCTCAAAAACAGCTGCTCAAATCAACTCCTACCACGTATACATTTTTTATGTAAAATACGTTGGACAATCCGAATTCTCATTTAAAAATTGAATATGGGGTGGCTCAAAAAAGTTATTTCGTTTTAAATGTGTGCAAGGTTCCGCAGGTGGCGCCCTCTTGACTTTACAATAAAAATTATAGCAAATTCTAATTTCTCAACCAGCAAAACCCCCCCAAGCCGAATATTGTGACAATACACCAATTATTAAAAAATATATTTATAAAAAATGAAAATCAAATTGAACTTTTGACACTCTGTATCTCTGAAATCATCCACTTTTGGACTGAGGTAAGTTGAGTTAGATCGTCATATTCACGCCTCAGGAACTTGTGGTAGCTTTTTTTTCCGCACCTTTTAGGGACACCCTGTATATATTAATATGAAGCAATACATTGAGAATTCGCATTCTCTATGTGATGAGAATATCTACTCTTTTTCAGTAGTTGTTTTCTATTGAATAAACTGAAAAAGAGTAGATATTTTCATCACATAGAGAATGCGAATTCTCAATGTATTGCTTCATATTAATATACAGGGTGTTTCATAATTGAATGCTGATCCTAAAGGGCGATGATCCTTGGATGATTTTAAGGAGATAGGTTCATATCAACATATGTCCTGAACCTCTTAGTTTTTGAGCTACAGGGTGTTGAAATCAGAAGCGTACAGCGGTTTTTTAAACTAAACATTCAATATCAGGTCTACGAGGACATCACTGGTGAAAGTGAAAGTTTGATTTTCGTCCCAAAACAAAATGTGTTTCCACTTATAGTGGGTGTCTACTGAATTACCAAAAACAATATCCAAGAACTGAAGGAACAAAATTCTTTGGTATTTATTTTTTTACGCGAAAACGGTACGTTGTACGAAAGTAAGTCTAGGAACCAAATTTGCTCCAAAATGAATAAGAATTGAAAAAATAATCTGGTTCTCAGAAAAATCAGTGGCGTACTATTTTTTTCTTCAAAAATTGTCAGTTCAAACCCCGTACGGACGCCACTGGTGAGAATTTTTGAATACCTTTCACGTGAAAAATGATCCTTAATAATAAGAAGGTGTATACAAAATATCATAACAATATCTAAGAGTGATAAAAAATTATGATGAAACTCATTTTTTTCTTGAAATGTCATCACCCTGTAGCTCAATAACTAAGAGGTTTAGGACATATGTTGATATGAACTTTTCTCTTCGAAATCATCCAAGGATTATCGCCCCTAAGGATCAGCATTTAATTATGAAACACCCTGTATATCGATTTTTGTATGTCCATAATTTATCTGAGAATATTTCTTTTCAACATCTCCAAATCTCTTTAAAATGCAGAATTGCTGACAATATAGAAAAACTCATTGAAGAAGATGACATTTCCATGAATGCTATTAGGAAATATTCCAATCATTTCGATCTCATTGATATAATATTTGAATGTGAAGGCTCTATCATGAGGCAAATAAATTGAAGTACTCAACGGAAGTTAGATTAAGGTCTCTGCTAATGAAAACAGTGCTGTTTGAAAAACAATAAATCATTTTGCCTTCATGTTGTTCTGCCATTTTGGCCCTGTTCCAGAGAAGAAACACTCAATATGTGCTATTTGCTATGACTTATTATAAATTTGCTCAGTTTTTTCAGTTGATTTGATTGCAATAATGAATCGAAATAATCATTTATGAATCCACTCTCATGAAATGTATCCTAAAGATTGCAATTTCCGAGGCAATTGTATCAAATCGTTATTTAGGATACTTGGCTGTTCATACCATTTTTTATATGCTATAAATAGTAGATACATTATTCTTTATAGAGTTAAGTGACACTTTTTCGTTGCATGTTCAAAAGCTGAACATCAATGAACCAATAAAAATGTGACATTTCGTGTTCCGATTTCAAATGTTTAATTATCACAAAAATACAAAATACTTTTGATGAATAAAGTTTTCGGAATTTTATGTTTGTTGTCAAAATAGTGTAAGCGAAAGGATCACTGAAAGACAGTTAGGTAAGTATGAATATTCCATTTGCTTTTCAAAACTGGGTCACGAATTTGTTATGATATCAAGCACTTTTCATCCTACGCCACTGGTGCTGGGAGAATCAGCTGTTGGCTGTTGCTATCCTTGTTTAGCATAAAATGAACACTTTAACGCTTTAGATGTTGATTCCAAACGAACTGTATTGCGAGGGCTATGGAATATGCTGCTAAAGCGTTTTATGCATGTGTGACACAATTGTTTTTCGCCTACCAGGAACATAATTGTTCTCTTGATTCCGAACTTCGGTTGATTCCGAAATCTTAGTGGATTCACACTGACGTTTAATGAAAATTCATGTGAAACGTCACAATACGCATCACGCAAGTGACAGTCAAAGGTCTCAAGATATTGAATAACTACAAAATCGTGTTGTTTTGAGTTCAGAAGCCCAATTGGCGAGTTACAAGGTGGGCCAAAAGAAGTCACCCGATGTTGTTTGGCTCTCAGTTTTATTCTGAATGAAAAGCTTCGATTCTGTTTCTTGATTATGTTTATTTGAACCTTTAGAATTTTATCGGTCAAGTCGAGAAGATGATATCGGCCAAATGGACGCCGCCACAACTGATTGTTATATGGGCTCGTTTTATGGCATTTTTCATCACTTCGGCTAGACTTCGTGCGACAGATTCTCGTACTCGTGTCGGATGTTGTCCTTGAGGTCCTCGAGGGTCTAGGGCTTGTTCACGTAAACACGGGACTTCAAAAAACGCCACGAAAAAAGTCTGAAACGGTTAAATCGGGCGATCTTGCGGGCCAGTGCATATCGCCAAAACGAGAGATGAGGCGACCCGGGAACGCCGTCTTCAGAATATTGGTTGTGGCTCCCGCAGTGTGTGCCGTTGCGCCGTCCTGTTGGAACCACATGCCTTCCAGTCCTAATTCGTTCAATTGCGGTAGAAAAAACTTGGTTAACATGGCCTATAGCGCGCACCGTCCACTATTGTGGTTTGACCAGCGGCGTCCTCGAAAAAAAAAAGGGCCCGATGACTCCTCCAGCGTGAACAGCGCACCACTTTGAGCGGGTGTTATGGCTCCTCGTGCATCACTCGTGAATTTTCGGTGCCCTAAAAGCGATAGTTTTGCTTGTTCACGTACCCGCTGAGGAGGAAATGAGCCTCGATCATCGCTCATTATGATTTTGGTCGAAAAATCGTCCACGAGATTGAGGATGGATTGGGCATAGGTTACACGCGTTTGGCTGTCGACAGGCAGCAGCTGATGCACGGACTGGACTTTGTACGGAAACATGCGCAGGTCTTTGACCAAAATTCGCCTTAGGGACCCGGCTGATGGCTAATTGCGAGGCACGGCGTCTAGTCGATGGTCGATGTTTCTGGTGACAGCTCGACATCATCGGCAACAGCGGCGATATTCTCGGCAGAAGGGCCGGCCACTCTTGGCAGCGTCTTGTGTGGTCCCATACCCCATACTCTTTCAAGGTTGGTGGCCAAACGGCGCAGTGTTTGCGCAGTCGGTGTCGGACGACCGGGGAATCGGCGACGGAATTCGCGCTGCGCCAACACCACAGACGAATAGTTACGCCAAAAAAGATGGTCGCCATTTGCAACAATAAGAGCATCTTACAATAGGGTGATTTCTCTTGCCCACCTTGTACATTACTTTCGGTCACATTTTCAGGGTTGATATGTTTCATTATCGTATATGGTAGGCGAAAATATATTCATCGCTGTCGACTGTGTAATACCAAGAAGTGGTGTTGCTACATTGGCAAAACTTTATTGAAAATTCCCATATTGACATACTGAAGCACTCGACAAGATGACCAGAATATTTAAAATCACTGTAGATTGATTCTTCAGAATTGTTATCATGCCTAACCCGACTAACAAATAAATGCATGTGTTGAACTAGATTCATGAACAGGTATAAAAAAATTAAGATGACAGGACGTTGATAACTTTTAAATTAGGCAGCATGACAACACTGGCTGCTATTGGGGACTATTATTAGTGATATAATGGTTGTTGTGCGAATTCATGTTAGCATTAGAATATTTGTTATCCTTCTAGGGGGTTTGTTGTTCGGAGGTTTGTTTGAAAGGGTTAACATTCAAAAAAATACTTCTAGGCAAAATTATTATCCGGAGAAGTGGATAGCCATTTCGATTCAGTCATAGTAATTCAATGACAAATCTCAATATATATGTTTGCTTCTTCAATACGCTCTATATCAAAAGCTAAGGAGTTGATCTGTATATTTCAGAGTTGTCCTCATTTCCGAAGAGAGCTTGCTGAGTATTATCCTTGATGTATTATGGAATTTCCTTATTGAAAATCGATCAACGGATTCCAAGGGTGTTGTGGGTTGAAATTGAAGACACTGTACGTTACATCAGTGCATCCCATTTTGGGTGAGGTGGACAGGTTGGTACCTTGGTTGTTGTTAAAGATATAGAACCTTGCGGTTTTCGAGGTTCTTTGCCACTTTTTTGCGTATCTCAAGATTGATTTTTTAAATGAAACACCCTGTATTTTATCAGCTCATTGAATTTTTTTTTCGAAATGATATATGTATATATATATATATATATGTTTGAATATAAACTTCGCTCCAAAATCACTAAAACATTGGATTTTAATAGTGTGATATGTATTTTTCCTATAAAAATAGTTAGTAGGAATATTTCTTTCAATTTTTCCAAAACATTACCAACACCTCCGAACAACAACTTACCATATTAAGACATTTTTCTTTTGGAAAATCATTCGGTTCCAAATGTCGCGACTTGAAATCGCATACACACTAAACAATGTATGTTTACGAACACGAACATGATCGTTTCTGAATGTCTCTAACTTCTCCACTCACTCCAATATTTGGCACAGTTGTTGGGGTCTTCATCTTGGTCGTAATCCATGGTAGTGAATTTGGACTCCAAATGGTACGTCAAGGCATCCCCGGCATCTCCAGAGTACCCACTAACCTTTTCTATGGGATATCCCGCCGTCTCAGGGCCTACTTTGAACGAATTGTATCGAGCATAGGCGGTCTTATTGTCCCTATCTACGATCTCGACCAGCAGTTCAGCAACTTCAGAACCTGATGACAATAGATAATTTCAACTACGAAAAAGCCAAAGTGCTCAAAGTGGAATGGAGTGTTAAATAAATATACAGAGCTCAAAGTGATTTCCACAAAAGTTCATGAGTGAACGAAACTGGTAGATAACGAGAAAAAAAACTACTTTCCTGGCTGTATGCCACTCAGAACATTAAAATACATCATCACGAAATCTATACAACGATTCGTATAGGCGAATGAGATCGCCAGTGTTTCTATTCTGAAAGAGACAAAAGCTTGAAACCGGTCTGTAGGTAGTCAAGCGTTCCTGAAGAATTTACGCACAATTCAGCGTTAAGCAAGGAAACCCTCAAACGAATCGTTGCAGATTTCGGGAATTGCAATTCAAAATCGGTAAGAGCAGGGATTGAAATTGATCAAGTTTCAACCTGATCACGTGTTTCATCTTCATTTTACAATTGATATATTTTTTACCTGTAAGTATTGTAGCTACAATAATTTTTCTTTGAAAAAATGTCGGACCACTTTGAGAAGGATGGATGGTTTTCATGACTTATCTGAGTTGTAACTGGACTCAAACTACCTGATGTCAGTTCGTGCATTTTCTGTAGACCGATCCAAAACTCCCCTTCCAAATTGCCGAATCCATGTTTGTACTCCCTCCATCCCCTATAGAAGTCTTCGGAACCGTCCACCCTCTTATGAATATGGGTCCAACCACCGCCTTTTGTCTGCATGTCGCAGAGCACAGTGAACGGTTTCTGAGACATCTTTGGTTGGATTTCGTACAAGCCAGAAACCGTCTGACCTACAATAGATAATCCCATCGTCACACAAAATGCCAAGTTTCCCAACTACACTTACCGGCAAAAAAACCGACCATCAAAAAATTTATCTAAATTAGAGAGAAAGAAAAGTTACTCTCTCACCCTTAGCTTCCTAACGCCCTGTGGAGAAGGTGAGTGGTTAAACTTGAGTTCATCATGTTTTGGATTGAAGTGTGATCCCTTCTCAACATAATGGTTTTTGATTCACGTCAATACGCACTTTTTTAGAGAAGATACATCAAGTGTTCAAAGGAAGTTTGGATAATTTTATTTTTATTAACAATCATTATTCATTCTCTAATCTCCTGCTACATCTTGTTTTGAATTAAAGTGCTATTCTTTTTGTCCCTTCTCAACACAATGATTCTCGATTCACATAAATATGTTCTTTTTGAGAGAACATACTATATTGTTTTAGAAAAGTTTAGAAAGAAACAATTATTCAGATCCTATAGAGCATCCAAAGGGAGAAAATCTAGAGGCTCATTCGCCTTCGTTCGGCCATGTCATAGTGTCAGGCATCGTCATTTAACATGTTTTATGTAACAATTATCAATTAACATTTATCATGTAACAAGTAGCGAAAATGGTATCTACGCAGACCAAATTAACATTTAAGAAGAAATTATACGCATGCGCACAAGTCAACCTAACCCTCCTTTTTTATGTAAAATAAATAATACATTCTCAAATGTTATAAACATATGAACATTTGTTTCCTGAAATGGAAGAGGCAGAAGCGCTTTTTGTCCTGATGATGCTGTTGACGGCCAGTTTTTTCCTGTTGAAGTCAAAGAGGAAACGGAGATGGGCTGTGAAGCCTGTAAATAGGGATAGAAAAGAAAAAGGAACATTTGACAATCTTGTAAAATCAATGATTTTACAAGATCATGAGGGATTTTTTTCATACACAAGAATGACACCAAAACTTTTTGAGGTATTATTATCACAAGTGGGCCCAAGTTTGAAAAATAATCCATCGAAAAATTCCATACCACCCGTGAACAGACTGCTGATTACTCTACAGTAACTATGCACTATGCACAAACTTTGTCTTCAGCTCATATCATATCTGTATTTTCTGGGCGGACCAATCCAGATAATTTGCGTACAAGGTTGAGCACAATAGGAAAATCTGGTTCATTCAATGTGAGAAGTTAAAAGTTGGCCAATATTCTACATGTTACATGATAAATGATAATTGTTAAATGTCTGCATAAACACATTGTAAAATGATAACTGATACATGTTAAATGACGCTGCATAAATCCACACATAGACTCTTAAGAGCTATATGATTCGCCGTTCAAGGAGAATTTCAGACAATTGGCGAGTGGACTGATAATGATTTATTGGCATTCAATTGCTCCACTGTGTCGTTAGGGTCCTACAATAATTTTTGCATTCACGCTTTTTTATGTAAATAATGAGCCTATGCCTTATTTGAAATTGTTGAATTTCAGAGCTCATCTCAAACGTACCGTCATGGCCACCATTTGGCGAATAAATGGTAACGTCAGTTTTTATGCTGATTCGATATTGGTCCGATAATCTTCCGTTTCCACTCATGGAGCTAGGTTGTTATGTCACCAATTATAATCAAGTTATCAGAAAGATGTTGAAGTCCTATCGTTGAGTAAAACATAATAGGAGGAACCCATGAAATTGAAGTTCAGTCTTGACCTTTTCGAGCAACCAGCATGTCCAAATATTCCTTATACTTCATAACAAAATATTGTGTAAATGTTGAGGACTTGGGAATATTGTGCTGAATGCTAAGAACTGACAAGATCACGCCCACATTTGTGCGCCGTGAGCAATAAGCCACAACACATGAGGGAACATTTTGAGACAATGGGCTTATATCACCAAAAAAATTCATTTCATAATTCGATAGAACTCACCCAAACTAGCTCACCACCGCAAACCGTTTCTTGCTGTGAGCTCCCTACGTTTTATAAAAAATTATTGAAATCCACGATTTTTCGGACCTCTGAAAACGAGGCGATGATGTGACGTCAAAACCCTAATACTGAAACAAGACTATTCCAGACAGAGATGAATGATACATGATTTCTGACAGAGTGAATTAGCTCGAGATCACAGTTGAAAAAATTAATATATCAGTTGCATCAGTCTCCGTCGGGCTTTTGGTATTTTCTTTCAACTATGGCGAGATGAGGTTTCTATGTCATAAGAGGGTCCGTTTTCAGATGGTACTATTATTTATGTCCAAAAATAAAACATTTCAGTTAATTTTTCCATCGAATTATGTCGTCTATCATTATTTATGTATAAAAGGATCATTATAAACATGGTTTGAGTTGAAAGTTCTACTAAGGTGTTTGTACACGCCCATTGTTTTTTTATTGCTAATTAGGAAATGAAATAGAGAATAATTAATATTTCTGAAGTTCCCAATCGTATTTCAACATATGGCAACTGCGCTATGGTCTGCCCCTACTTTCGAAATCGTGACGTCAGTTTTTACTCGCGGTAAATTTCTAGCAGTTTGAAAATTACCATACCATGTTTGGTGATTCTAGCACCTTAAAATCGACCGGGAATTCTAAGAAAAATATGAAATTGAAAGGGATTTGAGTGATGATTCTATTTAAGAAATAACAAAAAAATACTCCACTCGTCTATTCTTCAGGACTATTGAAACATTTGATCTACTCGAGGAGAGCATACTCGCTATTGACTACAAGTCTACTTTTTGTTTGTTTTTTGTAATAATGTTTATTTTTCGGTAAGTTCTAAGAAGATGAGGTAAAAATTAGTTTGATTGATTCTTTGAGTTGTTATTTAATGAGTTTTTGTAGGTTCTGATTATTGTTAATAAGAATTGAAAAATGTCAAACTATCTCAAAATACTCGTATCTTCTTTTAAAAATGAGATATCGACGTGAATCGAAAACTATTGTGTTGGGAAGTGATCACATTTTGATTCGAAAAATGATGAAGCCAAGTTCACCACTCTTTGCTTTTTCCCTGTATAATGATCATCAGCAGTCATCAGCTTTCCACGGAAACTAATATTCCAGAACGTCAACCTACTACGAATTGATAATAATTTCCCAAAAATTAGATGAGGATAGAAAAAGTTACTAGATGAACAATTTGGGCAAATTATTTGGTGGCCTTTTTTTACCGTATATTTCTTCCTCATTCTGACATGTAATTTGACATTTATCAAAACTGATGGAAGTTTTGAGATGGTGAAATGTTCATTTCAACACCATATTCACGGAATAAAAAAAAAGTTCAGGTGGATAACTGGTGTTTGAACGTGTTCAACAACAGAATACCTCTTACGAAGCCAAATACCAACAACCAACAAATATGGCGACTGAGATGCTGGCGTTTTATCAAATGGCGTCTTTTCGCCAAAGAATGATTGCTCGTAGGCTATAAATACTCCTCGTCAATGTCCTTCACAGAAGTCCATTGGACATCCTTGGGAAACTTTTTCAGGATCTACTGGGGACCTTCTACGGACCATCAACTCAACTGGATGTCCTCATCAGTTATGCAAGATCTGGTCCTATAGGGACCCAGAAAAAATCAAATTCAAGAATAATTCGTACATCCCTGGGCAATCCTAAGGACATCCAATTGATATTCCTCAGTGTTGCTGATAGGTTGTCCTACGGATGTCCCAAGGATGTCCTCCGTAGTGCTTGATAGGATAACTGTAGGATTTAGGTATTCGATAGTTGTTAGTTGTCCCAGGGACATCCCTCAAGGACGTTCCTATAGTTGGTCCCCAAGTGGGACATTTGTGCGTCCCACAGACGTCCACGGTACCAAATTCGAACGTCCTATGGACGTCCTGAATGTCCCGACAGGACGTCCTAAGGATATCCATGGGATTTAATTGTGTTATTAGGGTTGTTCGTATCGTATATTCGTTATACGATAATCGATTACGAAATGTCCCATCTTATATCGTAATATGAATCCCTATACTTATATCGAATTCGCAAATTGATATCCTTCGAATTCCAGTGCTTGATTATTACATGTTATTACCAGAAGTAGCCAGATACAAACGCCGCTTTGTAATATACACATAGAAAAAGTCCTGAATTGGCTCACCCTCAGCTAATGCACTGCTAACTGATGGTGTATTTTCAAATTCTACAACAAAGTCAGGAAATAGGAAAACGTATAGCTTCTTCATCAAACTATCCATACATGGAGAGGAAAAATTACGATGTATCAATAATCATGTTAATAAATAGAGGAGATATGTACAGGGTGTCCAAGATAAGGTTGCACAGCATAATCTTGGAAACAGAGAGATTCTGATTCGGTTCCAAGGGTCATACCAACGGCCTTCGCAAATTTTCAACATTGTTTCGTGAAATTACAAAATTGTTTTTAGTGTTTCAGTTATATCGAGAAAGGTTAGTTTTTTGAAAATCTGATTTTTTCTACGTTATTATCAGAGATAAAGAAAAACTGATAACGCGACCAAGGGTCCATAGGTCGCTGGTTGACCAAATCTGGGATGTATAGTTTCATGCGAAACCATGATAAAAATGTTGTCGTGTCCAATCAATATCCTCTGGACGAACATTCTTCACCGATTCTCAGATTCGACTATCCAAGTACTTATATTTATTGCATAAGTACTTGGATGATGGTAAAATGATTGGGAATTTTGTGTCGAAGCGAACATCTGCATATTTTATTCTTTCTAAAAGTGCATCCCAAAAACTTGGTTTTCTGTTTCGGGCCAGGACCTATTTCACTCCCAGTCAGTTGCTTATGATCTATAAGGCACAGATCCGACCTGTCCTGGAATACTGCTCCCATATTCAGAATGCAGCACCCAAAAATACCCTGAAACTGTTGGATTCTGTCCATAATAGGGTAATTCGTCTCGTGGGTGATGCCTCGCTCACAAACTCACTCACTTCTCTGGATCACCGTAGAAAAGTTGGCGATCTGGCTCTATTTCATAGATATTTTCATAGACGATGTTCTTCTGAAATATCAACAATTGTTTCTCCCTTGGCAGTCCCCGCGAGATTAACCCGTCGAGTTGAGGCTTGGAGACCTGCAGAACATCCCTTTCCAAAGACTCGTTCATCCAACGAACAGCGAGGCTCTGGAACACATTGCCAAGGGAGGTGTTCCACTAGGCATATAACCTTCAGAAATTCAAAACGAACACCAATTCCTATCTTATTTTCCTTGGTTCTCACGATGTTCTCTGAATATTACAGGATATCCCTCTTCGTGAGAACCAGAAAAAAAAGTTTCAGAGTCTTGAAAAAGGAATTCTTGAATACAGTTTCAAGAAATGAAATTTCCAATGATGATATCATTTTCGAAATGGAAATCTCCCGTAATGAGTACCACCATGGTGGCATAAACGACACACACGAGAAATTATCAACTGTATCAGCGCCAATTCGACCCAATCCTTGAATGTTCAATGACACAAACGCCAGTGTCACTTTTGGCATAAACACATTCTACTTGTGTGGAGTGGCACAAGCGCCATTTTCTCAATTTTCAATTTATTCTATGAAGGAGAAAATCAGAGTCTTCATCAGACATTCAACAAAAGTAATAAAAAAAATCAATCTTTCATTTAAGACGTCAAGCAGATTTTTGTTGCAATTACGAAAGAAGTTAATCAGTTTTTTGTCTCTCTTATAAAGTTGACTCGATGGCATTTGTGCCGTTTTGGCATGAACGCGTCGATATAATCAGTACCGTATTTAAAAAATACGAAACATCGCGTAGAGAAATCAACATGATCACGTTTAATCTCATCAAAAGTTGCTATGGAAAAGTGTTTTCAGTTTTTTTGTATCTCTCATCATAACGTAAAAAATATTTTTTTTTACAAAAATACACTTTTTTTATATAACTGAAAAACTATAAACAGTTTTGAACATTTTCTAAACTTTTATTTTATTTAACCGAATTCGTATCTCCCTCCGTTTCCGAGATCTCCGATGCTGTGCAACCTTATCTTGGTCACACTGTATAAGCATGAACCTCATCTCATGGTCACCCAGTAGGTAAATAGGGAGTATGTTATATTTATTTACCAGATCTTTGAATATCTTTGCAGCTTCTAGGAGTACTCGAAAAGTTTTCTTGTGCTTCATTCTTCTCTAGAATCTTGCAGATTGGTAGTTTATCCACCCCTACTAAAGTTCTACAAACTGCTCGTTCTTGGTCACCACAATGATGATAACCGGCCTCAGAGATTCTTGAAAAATATATGAGTCGTTCAGTGAACTATGAATCATACTAAACTGATCTGATTATCTGATGATAGGACAGGTCATGACCTATCAGTTCACTATGTCTTGTTCAGAAAATATGACGGTTATAGTGATGTAATCATGATGTAATAGTTATTTATACACCAAGGTAGTAAACAGTATCATTATTACCAGGAACGAAGTTTATATCCAGAGGCTTCAGCCAAGGGGTATAACGCCCCGTGGAAATTATATTCTTTTTTCTGTGACGGGAAAAAAGTTTGGCATTTCATCTCTGTTAACAGGTTATAAAATCTCACTTTTCATAAATTACTTTTTTCCCGTGAGAAAAAAGTGGGTACCGGATATACAGGGTGTCCGGGAACATGTGGGAAATCTCCCGGATATGAAGAAAACACGTGAAAAGAATACTATAAGTTCATATAAACTTCTTTTGTATCGGCCTCCTCTTCGGAGATATGGGCTCCCAAAGAGCTCCCATGGAATTAAGTTTTTGACACATAATTCTTGAACCAACAGGTATATTTCAATTTTTTTTTAATATGATGTATACTAGGTAAGACTCTTCAAATTACTATCCAAGAAAGTGTTGCGAATTACTCACAGCTCCAGGGACGGACTAGCTGTGACACTCATGGGCCCATTTTTTTTACGCCCTGTATGATAAGAACTCTGGACAACGTTTTTTACATACCTCTAACTATTGACTAAAAATTGAGTACTCTTCATTCATGTCGCTAATCATAACCGTTTTCGGAAAAACGTCATTTTATTTATATCATATATTTAGCGTAATTTTCCACGGTAACCAACATAGTTTCAATAAAAAGTTGAACTTTAACTGCTTAGTTAAAAACTTCGTAACAGGGTTCAACATGGGCTCCATGAAGTCTGATACTCTCGCGTGCACGACGAATTGAGGACTGCTGTACCCGCCACAATAACCCAGCATTGTTCCTTATCACATCACAATGAAACGTGATTCTCCGTAGAAGTTCCTCCCTAGTATCGACCGGAGTGGAATACACCAAGGTTTTGAGGTGTCCCCACAGGTAAAAATCTAATGGCGTTAGGTCGGGAGATCTAGGAGGCCAGGCAATAGGTCCTCCTCTACCTATCCAACGGTTTGGATAGACGTTATTCAGGTGCTCCCGCACAGCAACGCTGAAATGAGGTGGTGCCCCATCATGCATAAAGTACATGTTTCGGCGGGTTTCAAGTGGTAAGTGCTCGACTAAATCATTAAAAGCGTTCTGGAGGAACTCCAAATAAAGTATTCCATTCAATCGTGCCGGCAATACGAATGGTCCAATCAAAAAATTGCCAACGATTCCTGCCCAGACATTAATTGATTGGAACTGATGTTGGCGATGCGAAACAATAGTGGCATGAGGATTTTCATCAGCCCATACATGGGTGTTATGTAAATTCATGATACCATTTTTGGTAAAACCTGCTTCATCCGTGAAGAGAATAGTGCTAATGAAGTTTACATTATTTCGTTGCTGATCCAATAGCCAGTTTGCAAAATGCATTCTACGGGGAAAATCTTCAGGAATCAGTTCATGCACTTTTTGCAAATGATATGGGTATAACAGTTGTTCTTGAAGAACTTCATGTACTATTGTTTTCGACGCATTAAACTGCGCTGATAATTTTCGAGTGCTCGTTGAAGGAGTATTATATACAGCATTTAAAATATTTTCCTCTAATTGCGGCGTACGTACTGTTCTTCCCTGACCAGTATTATTACTTCTTTTTCCAAAATTTCCTAAAATTATGAAAGAAGTAAATAACATTACCTTATTATACCTTATTAAGAAGAATCGCCCACCATTCTCCCTTAGACGTTGGTCAACTCGTTGAAATGTCTTCTGATCTGGAAGAGTGCGATTAGGAAATCTGTCGTGATATAACCTTCTGGCTTCCAAAGCATTGGAAGATGCAAGACCATACATCAGATGCATATCTGCATACTCAATAAACGTTTATTCCATATTTCGAATTATTTCACAATTAATTTCACAACGAAATTCAAAAATCAAATATCAAAGTAATAAGGAATCAATGTATCAGTAATGTGAAAGTTGACAAGTTCTAAAATGAAGGATATTTATTTATTTCTAACCTAGCAACGTTTGCAAAGGTAACTCGAAAAAAAGTATCTTTTATCGAAATACGCTAAATACATGATATAAATAAAATGACGTTTTTCCGAAAACGGTTATGATTAGCGACATGAATGAAGAGTACTTAATTTTTAGTCAATAGTTAGAGGTATGTAAAAAACGTTGTCCAGAGTTCTTATCATACAGGGCGTAAAAAAAATGGGCCCATGAGTGTCACAGCTAGTCCGTCCCTGGAGCTGTGAGTAATTCGCAACACTTTCTTGGATAGTAATTTGAAGAGTCTTACCTAGTATACATCATATTAAAAAAAAATTGAAATATACCTGTTGGTTCAAGAATTATGTGTCAAAAACTTAATTCCATGGGAGCTCTTTGGGAGCCCATATCTCCGAAGAGGAGGCCGATACAAAAGAAGTTTATATGAACTTATAGTATTCTTTTCACGTGTTTTCTTCATATCCGGGAGATTTCCCACATGTTCCCGGACACCCTGTATATCACATATATATATATATATACACTGTTGATGGTTTCTGTTGTGCTATAGTTTCGAAAAATAAGTCTACAATACCGTCTCCGAGAAACTGCAAGTCCTTTTACAAGTTGATTGTCTTTATCACCCCAAGAAACATTATTGTTCATAATAGGGGTCTTTTTTCTGCTTCTTCTATATTTTTCAACTCATTAGGTAAAAGGAGTTATATAAAATTATTCCATTATGGGATATTGATTGTTTACCAAAATTTGACTTATTTGCTATCAATAAATTGGATTGCCTTGTTTCATGGGCGTGAATCGTATTAACTTCATTAAAATTCAAATTCGATATTTTCAATTCCTTCCTGACAAAATAAAAAACAACAAATTTTGAGTTTATATAATGAAACTAGATTCAGCAAGTCTTTATCTTCCATTCGACTTCGCGGTTACGTATATTACTGAACAACCAGTAAATTCGCGATTTCTCGAAATCAAATCACAGAATTAGACTGACAGAATTCAGAAATCAGATATTTGATTACTTCGAAAGGATGATAACTATACCTACAACCAGGGCCTACTCTGAGATACAGTAGGCCCTGCTACAACGCAGGTGTCCCTCCTGTTAAAAACTTCAAATTTCACGTCGATAATATGCAGATTTTGAAATGATGTAATATCTTATCAATATTGACTCGTCCTTTCTTCTGCCACAGAAGAAAATTGTGTATTATACACGGGAAAAATATTTCATTTTAGCTCACGGTTTTTCGTCTCTCAAAAATCTACTACTTTTTTCCCTTGTATAATAAATAATTATTACCACCAAGGTGTATATTGAATTTTTTCACCACTAGCATTATATTTCAATTATTATATAGTTCTGTGTAACTGAAATATTGACCCACGACCTATTGTCATGATGAAAGCATTTCTTTTTAATTCCAATTGAAATCAAGTAGTCATGACCATATGAGAGCATATTTATGAAAAGTGGTTATTGATAAATTCCTACTAGATTCGAGTGCCATTTATTTATAAAAGGACCCCAATAAACTGATAAACTTAGCAGAACCATTGTAACATTGCAGATTTGCAATAATCCTATAATTTGTTACTAATTGAGTACTAATTCATTTCCCTTCATTTAACGTATAAAAACCAACGGCTCTGCTAGCTTCATGTCAACCTAGCAGAACCGTAGCTGAAAAATTATTTTTTCTGATGGTTCAAAAATACCATAATTTGATTTTTGATCACGAATCTTTAACTCATCCATCCGATGAAAAAAAAAGGCCGATTTGTCAATCTCGATCTCAACCTAGCAGAACCAAAACTCTAATCACATGTTATTTAAAATTCTATTCAGTTATCAATAAGTTATTAATTGATTACCATATTTGCAAATTCACAACCTTCTTTGAAAAAACCAACGGCTCTGCTAGCTTAATGTCAACCTAGCAAAACCATTGCTGAAAATTCATTTTCTTGGAAACTTCAAATATACCATCATTTATTATACTATTCAAAAAATTGGACGGACTTTCTCATGAATCTCAGTTTGAACCCATGGTGACATTCAATGAGGATTCTTCTTGATAATTTCGAAGCGCTTTTTGTAATGTTCCTTTGAATATCAGAATGATTATTTATTTCACTAGAAAGGAAGGCACAACATTAAATGCCGCGGGTGGAAACCAGCCAAGGCAGATAATCTACTCTGCTGGCATGTGAAACATAATATACAGGTTTGTTGAATACTGTCTGTAGGTTAATCGAGGAGGTGCTACATTCATTGTTCCAGATTTTTTTGGGATTTCCTCTCTTTATAAATGATGGCAATTACAAGAAATTGAATAAAGATCCTATACAGCAAACATCGAAAGAAAGATACGTAACACTACTAAGAAACATCAAAATCAACTGACACTCGCGGAAAGAAAGAAAACTCCACATATCACAACAAACCATCACATTTTAAATAGAGAAAATAGAGTTACAGTAGAAATACTCCTCATTTCTTAGGAAAACTTAATGACATCACTCATTATACAAATTATATTCTCGTTAGTTTTTTATGCAGTAAGTTTATTCACAAATGTTCCAATACATAAAACTTCACAAATAGTGCAACATAAATCAGAAGACATGATCAAAAAATACCACAAACAACATAAAAAATGCTGGCGATACGTAGATGATATTTTCATGATTTGGCCACATAACCTTATGGAGCTAGATATTTTTCTGGATAATGTGAACAATGCCGAACCTACCTTGGAAATTGAATCTATAATATGAAGAAACGAGGAGAGAAAATCCCAAAAAATCTGGAATAATAATATACAGGGTTTTTCACCTAAAACTCCGCACGCCATTATGTCGAAAACGAATAGGAATATTCGAGTTCTGTAAAATGTAGTCAAGGAATGAATTAGAGTAGATTTTTTTCAAAGTTTAGAAAATTAACGCGGCGAAAATATAAATCGATAGCATTGACTTTGAAATCACGCACACTGAACACTACATGTTATTTATAAACTTTTTTGTTATTTCCTCGAATTTATTTATTTTACTCATTTCTGAGTTATACCGGTTAGTAGTAAATGTTTCTTGATTTCCGAATAGTTATTTATTATACAAGGAGAAAAAGTAATAGATTTTAGCTCCAGGTTGTGTTGTGTCCCGACGCGTAGCGGAGGGAGACAAAAAACCGTGAGCTAAATTGTAATATTTTTCCCGTGTATAATACACTATTTTTTTATGTGACAGAAGAAAGTATCAATCAATATTGAAAATATATTACATTATTTTCCAATCTGAGAATTATCGACGTGAAATTTCAAGTTTTCAACAGTAGGGACACCTGCGTTGTAGGCATCTTTATCGCATTCTTTTGAATTAATCAAATATCTGATGTCACTTCTGTCAGTCTGATTCTGTGATTTGATTTCAAGAAACTGCGAATTCAGTGGTTGTTCAGTAATATACCTAACCGCGAAGTTGAATGGAAGATGAAAGGACTTGCAATTCTTTCTCGGAGACGGTATTATTGACTCATTTTTCGGAACTATAGCACAACAAAAGCCATCAACAGTGTATATATATGTGATATAGGTATATCTGGAAAAAAGTATCCAAGTAATTTATGGAAAGTGACATTTTATAACCTGCCAACAGAGATGAAATGCCAAAATCTTTTCCCGTCACAGAAAAAATATGCGATTACGTATGATTATTACAAGAAAGTCATGAATATTAGGTAGGTACCTTGACAACCATTGTTATTGCAATTACTCGTGCAATTACTTCAAGTGCAAAACTAAACTAGAGCCTACATAAATTAGAATCACAGGCAATTTTGCTAGAAGAATGAATTTCTTAAGCAAGATTTTCACATTTCTATTAGAAAGGAAATTCTATTGGAAATGGTATGGAGCGCGATGAAAGTCGATTCCATAATACCGGGTGACGCAGAGTATCGAGCCACCCCTGTAACTTCTGCATTCGTCAACGGATTTTTCTGATATTCGGTACATTTATATAAGCAACTATTTCGGATTTGATCACATTACATTCCAATATGGCGGACTTCCGGTTTTTCTGAAAATGCCAGCAATTTTGTTTTTTCAAATGGAATACCCTGTATATTTTTACATATTCAAGTTCAACAGGACAAAATAAGTGCGATCTTGATGTCAAATGTCATTTATTCCACAGCCTACCTGGTTGAAAAATTATTCTAACTGCAAGGAAATTCATAAACTAGTTGTTGATTTTTGAATGTATACAATTTGTTACTGCACCGAAAAACAAAAATGATATGTCATTTTGTTCCTTAATGTATGTTCTAGAGAGACGGGTGGGTGGCCCATAGGGGTTTCATTTGAAAAAAAATAATTTTTGATCAAAAAGTGATGTGGCTGAATTGATTCCTGGTTAAGTGACACAAAAAATAATTTTTCAGAAAAAAATATGTTCTTCTGTTATGTGTGACTCATTGTGAATAGTCTTGACCACATCTCATTTATCCACGAGGTAAAATGAAAATAATTGCTTATATAACTGTACCGAATTTCAGAAATTCAATTTGAAATACTCATTAATTTCATCGAAAACTTATTGACAGAAATTTCAATCAACGAACAGCTCATAACTCATTTCAATAATTTTGATTGTGAAAATATGATTAACAATGTTGGATCTGACTTTTATTAACAGGAAAAATGTCGTGTAATCACATATCAGTCAATCTTCTCTCTCTCACTCTTACCAGGTATTATATGCCATTTCACTTTTCAGTTGTGAAATGAATCATACTATTGCAGATTATTCATGAACTTGCTTCCGCTGTAGCATTTCCCCACCGCGATGATTAATTGTAGTACCCTGCCTCTAGACGCTAGTTATCAACAATGAAGTTCCATGATTCTGATTGGTTTGTACTAATCCATTCGAATGCAACTGTCAAGTGTAAAGCCCTATTTTATGGTTATGGTTACTCATGATTCGTGCTCATGATGATAGTCACTGTTGAGAATGAACAACAGTGAATTCTTATTTTTTCGTGTATTTGTAGAATTGAGGTGATTAAAACTATGAGAACCATGTAAGGCGAGTCTTTTGAATTTGCGTGTATTTCACAAACAGTGGTATGGTGGTGTGCTTTAGTAGAACTAGTGGAACGAATACCTACCTAGTTGAATTTGACAAGACGATGGGATGTCAGATTATTATGCCATCCTACTGTCATTATTACTCTCATTGCTCGATTCATCACTATAATGTCTGTTATTAAATGTTGAAAATCGAGTTAGCAATGTATGAATGACTCCATAATCGTAGATAAAATCAATGAAATTCTTGTGAAAATCATCCGTAATCTAATTTTTTCAACCAAAAAACGTTCACTAGTAACCGGTATAACTCCGGAATGATGAATATGTTCCAGTAAACACAAGTTTATTAGTTACATGTACTGTTGAGTGCGCGTAATTTCAAAGTCAATGCAATCGATTTATATTATTGACGCGTCGCGACGCTCAGCTCTTAGTAGGCGATGCATTTTTTTAAATCTACTTGCATAGCAACAAACTTTTTCTGCCTAGGCAGGGAGAGTATACATGGAGTATACACACCTTTGCTGACTGTTAAGTGTCATAGAGAAGCCACTGTTTATGCTGCTTGGAGAAAAATAACTATTTCAGCACTTGAAATAAACGTCTACATGTTATTTCACCATCAACCTAAGTTTATCGTAGATGCTCACCTGGAACTCATTGGTTTATTATTGAGCGCGCCTTCCAAATATTTATCGAATAATAATTCGAAATTATAGTTTTCCAAGAATTCCTTGACAGCCATGTATTGTTCTTTGATCTCGGCTAGCTCTTTCTTCAAAGGTTCGTCTAGTGACCGCTTCATTTTATGAATTCCATCACCTAAAAAATATTCAATTGGAAGCTGAACCGTAAAAGTTATTGTATACACCAAGATGCGAATATGTGATCAGAACAGTGCATTTGGGTTAATTAAAACAGAGTTGGATATGTCTTTATTGACTAGTGGTCCATGAAATGACGAAAACTACCTTGGTAGTTATTGTATAGAACTGGGATATATTAGAAGGACTTGTAATGTTACTTGACACATTTATTGAAAACAAATTTTTGTATGTCATGAACTATTGACATATATCGAATAGTGTAGGATACTGGGTGATTCTAATATCTAAGGATACGACAGTCTCCCCCACATAATTAGAAAATACACAAATCATCAAAATAAAAGGTAACAACAATTTTAAGACTTCATGTCGTAGTCAGCAAAACGTGAAGGTAGGCGTCGCTGGCGCTGTGGTCGATCTTGAGGAAGATCTGGAACATGACACCTAAATATTTGGTTCTACTGGTTCAACAACACATTCTGGTATATTATTTGGCTGTGGCACTGTTGATATTGAGTAGCTCCAAAGGTAACAGTAGGCTTCGGAACCAAACTGGATCTAAGTTGGTCGACATGTCGTTTCAGTGTTCGGCCGGAATCCAAGGTACCTAACCGAATAGTGGCGTTGTCCAAGAACTTTTTGAATTACGCCGAAATGCCAGACGTTCTTATTATTGATATAAAGTCTGATCTGGACTCTTTCCCCCTCATGAAATGAACGAGGAGTCCTCGAAGATGTCCTGGACTTGTGGAGTGTATACGGAAAAATAGCATTCAAACGGATTCTCAATTTCCTATTGAGGTACGTTTATATCACAAAAAAAAATTATTTTATAATTCATTAGAACTCACCCAAACCAGCTCACCACCGCAAATCGTTTCTTGCTGTGAGCTCCCTACGTTTTATAAAAAAATATTGAAATCCCCGATTTTTCGGACCTCTGAAAACGAGGCGATGATGTGACGTCAAAACCCTAATACTGAAACAAGACCATTCCAGACAGACATGATACATGATTACTGACAGAGTGAATTAGCGCGAGATCACAGTTGAAAGAATTAATGTCAGTTGCCTCAGTCTCCGTCGGGCCTTTGGTATTTTCTTTTAACTATGGCGAGATGAGGTTTCTACGTCATAAGAGGGTCCGTTTTCAGAAGGTACAATTATTTATGTCCAAAAATAAAACATTCCAGTTAATTTTTTGATCGAATTATGTCGTCAATCATTATTTATGTATAAAAGGATCATTAAAAACATGGTTTGAGTAGAAAGTTCTACTAAGGTGTACAGGGTATCCCACATAACATGGGCCACCCGCTTATCTGGTAAACTATTATATATACAGAAAAAAGTTCAGAATAAAAGTTGCATTACTTCCTATGAACTTCATTTTCTAGATACTTTCATTTATACAGGATGGTCCATATGTCTGTGACTTATCACACATACGTTTTTTCGAATAGAATACCCTATATTTCATCATATTTTTAGATAGTACTTCAAAAGACGAGTTCAATGATATATAATAACATGGGTCTGAGATCACCCGTTTCGGATTTATACACGATCTTCTTCAATAAATTTCCAAATTTCGAAGCCCTATAGAAACGTTGCGAATGAAGTTTTCGATTCGCAGTTTCCGCTATAAATTAACGAAGTCTGTATATTATTCTGTTCTATGGTGAAAATTTAGGAATTTTCAATTTTCCAAAAGTGATGACGTATTCTGAAAACCAATAAATATCTCCAGATTTTCAAATGGAACACCCTATATTCCATTCCAAATTTGCATAGAGCTCAGGAAGACGAGTTCAATGATATATCATAACATGTGTCTGATATATATCACCCGTTTCGGACTTATACACGATCTTCTTCAATAAATTGCCCAATTCCAAAGCCCTATAGAAACGTTGTGATTGAAGTTTACGATTCGCAGTTCCCGCTATGAATTAACAAATTTTGTATGTTTTCTTGATCCATGGTAAAAGTTTATGAATTTCGCATTGGCCAAAAGTGATGATGTATTTTGAAAAACGATATTTCTTTACAAATTTTCGAATGGAACACCACCCTATTTCATTCCATCTTTGGATGAAGCTCAGAATGACGAGTTCAATGATATATTATAATATGGGTCTGAGATCACCCGTTTCGGACTTATACACGATCTTCTTGAAAAAATAATCAAATTTCAATGGCAAAATTCTTACTGTTATCTTCATATTAGATAAAAATTTTGTTATTTCTGTGAAACAATTCGTAATAAAGAGTTTTGAAAACAACGAATATTATCGAAATTTTTATGATCATTTCCTTTAGATTTTTTCTTATGGGGTGCTTTGAAAAACAAAGTTTATGAAAATCGATGTGACAACATAGAACAATTAAAAGGAAATATACGAGTCGCAATCGTGAATTCGAATGAATCACATGCAGTAGCAGTTCTAGGAAAAAACAGGTCGTTTCAGATATCGAGGGGGAAGTAGAATGCCAGTATCAATTGAATTCTATGTTCATCCCCTTCACCCCCAGACACCCCTACTATGAAATATCAAATGGCATCCCCTACTTTGAGATACATAAAATTGAAGGTCTATCAATAATCAAATCAACCAGATGAAAAATAAATAATTTTGCATACAGGGTGGGTCATGAGGAACTGATGAACTGAACATACTCCTAACACGAACAGAGGCCATTGTGGGCAATACCGCATGGCCATCCAAAATGTGTTCCCCTCTTCTACAATAATATACAGAGTGATCCATGGGATTGGGCAAAAAATTATATTTTTTTCATAACTTCCCAACAATTTCTTTGAATTATTTAATTTTTCAATGAAACGTTAGACGAACCCGTTCTTATAGACTGGCGCATACAAAATTGAAGAAATTTAGGACCGTATATATACTTGTCGTAAAAGAGGTCATTTACTTATTTCCAAATTCCACTGTTCCTAGTGTTCCTGCTGAATAATTTGTCAATTCACCTATAGGGTATCATCGAAAGCAACGAGATAAATGTTGAGGCCTATGGATCTTGTGTGGATATCTTTATCAATTTATCACCGCAAACTATAAACTGAACTGCATATTTTTATGAATCTCTTTATTTCATCTCACAACTGACACTGACTTTTTGATAATTAACAAAACTTCAACTACAAAAGTAAGATGCCTATAACAATGGTGAAATCAGTTCTTTCAAGTTAGTATGATAGAACAGGTCATAACAATGAATTCTATCAATAAATAATTGTGATGGAAATATTTGATGTACTTTTCGTTACATTTGAGTTTTTATTTTTGCTTCCATCAAGAATATTCGGCAGTGAGATTCTTATTCTTATATTGTTATTAGTACCAAAATCTTGTACCAACAGATACCTACTTCATTACAAGAAATAATAGAAATTATATTTATTTATGGAGCTGATGATCGCTGTGCTAGAAGAACGTCTAGAGTTTTTAATGAAAGACATCAGGACAAGAATATGAGTCACCAACCCATCGTGACTCTTGTGAGAAAATTCACCAGCAACAAGACGATCATGACCGCAGAATCGAATTTTGTGAGATAATGTCTATAGGAAGATTCAACAAGATGCCAGTTTTCTTGAGCACATCTGTTTCAGTGATGAATCAACGTTTTATTCGCACGGCTTTGTTGATAAACATAATTGTAGATTCTGGGACAATGAAAATCCGCACACATTTCGACAGGACTATACTCAGTTTCCTGAGGGAATCAATGTATGGGCTGGTATTCTAGACAGAGATCAGCTATAATGGAGCTTCCAAAACTCCAGAGCTTAGCTTGTCTTTGCATCACAGGTGCAATGCGCAGCACTCCTACCGCTGCTATGGAAACCATACTCAATATTCCACCTCTAGAAACCTTCATCAATGCGGAAGCGAGGATGGGGGCATACAGACTGGCATGCTCCGGGTGACTCCCTGGGACATACAAAAATAATCAGCCTAGTTTCAAGCCCACTAATGGATATGGGAAGTGACAAAATGCTGCCTAAAAATAAATATTACATACCCTTCAACACTCAGCTCTACTGGGATGAAATGGTCTTGAGTGTGGTACACTGACGGTTCTAAGACTGATGAGGGCACGGGAGTCGGAATATATGGAGATAGACCCAGAACCAGGATGTGTGCTTCCTTGGGGAGGTATGCTTCAGTATTCCAGGCAGAGGTGCATGCTATTGAGGCATGCCTGAGAGAGAATATTGTAAGAGGATACAGGTAAACAAATCCTTATATGCTCAGATAGTCAGGCGGCCATCCAATCTTAAACATGCAATAAAATCAGATCAAAACTGGTCTGAGATTGCCTTCAAAGCCTGCTAACCCTGGCTAACCACAACAAGGTAACTCTTCAATGGGTGCCAGGGCATAAGGGAATTGAAGGCAGTGAAGCAGCTGACGCTCTTGCCAGGCAAGGGTCTGCGGCGTTGTTTATGGGACCGGAACCTGGGTTCGGTATCCCCAAAACCTCAATACGCGGTTGGCTGGCAAGGTGGATGCAAGAAAGACATCAGGCATACTGGAACAATATCCCAGGACAAAGACACAGTAAACTGATGATTGGAACACTGTCTAAAACAGTGACTAACGACATTCTGAGCCTAAACAGAAGTCAGATCAAACAAGTGATGGGACTAATAACTGGTCACTGCCCATTGAGGAAACATATGCATCAAATGGGCATCTATACAGACGAACCCATATGCAGACTATGCAATGAGGAGGAGGAAACTGCCACCCATGTAATATTGCAGTGCGAAGCACTAGCGCGTTGGAGATAAAACTCTCAAGAGGCATTTTCAACGAATGATTTGGTGAAGAGGCTGCTAAACCTCATCAAGGTAGCGAACCTATTCACCTAAGTCAACAGCATGATCAGGAATATGATCCTTGACTGATCATTCTGCTATTAATCAATCAATCAATCAATTCTAGACATCAATGAGACAATTGG